TTTCTGATTTGTCCTGAAATCCAGTCTGAACCCTGTTATAAAACATGTTTATTCTGCCTGATACTGTTTATTACCTGGCATTCGATGTTAACCAATAACTGTTTGATTGCTGCACAATCAGAGTTAAGGAATAAGCTCAGAACGCCGGGTCGGGAACGGAGTAAATTATCTGGAAGATTAATAGGTTTTTTTCACTAAACTAGGAATTGTACTGAAAAAGAAAAACTGAGCAAGAAAACAATGCTTATTGCAAGATTTTTTTTATTATTTCAGCTATTATTTCCTAAAATTCCCTTTTCCCTTTATTCTCTAATATTCACAGTTCAGTGAATCAGCCCCAAGCATTTAATCAAATTGAATTAAATTAGAAGGGCAAAGGTTTAAAAATAATATCAGGAAGTATTACTTTACTGAGAGGGTGGTGGATGCATGGAATAGCCTTCCAGCTGAAGTAGTAGAGGTTAATACAGTAAAGCAGTTTAAGCATGTGTGGGATAGGCATAAGGCTATCCTAACTATAAGATAAGGCCAGGGACTAATTAAAATATTTTTTTAAAAATGGGCAGACTAGATGGGCCGAATGATTCTTATCTGCCGTCACATTCTATGGTTTTAGTCCTTTTAGGTGTCATAATGTGTTGTGGTTATAGTTTTGCCCTGAAATCATTATTTACCCAGTAACTAATGACATAAGCAGCAACTCATTTTCTGATTGGTGTTTTGAAATCAGGCTGTTTCTCGGAAATCAGATCATTTCTTCTGTTTGAACATCAGAAAATCAATATGGGCACTAGAGGGCGCTCAGTGTATGTGGATATGAAGGATACACAGTATAATAAGCTAGCATTTCACAGTCAATCAGGGGAACAGAAAATTGGGAAATACCATTTATTGACTAACATTATTTCTCTAAACGATCCTGTAGTTGACGCAGCCAAGCAGTCCTAATGCTGGTCATACTGAAACCATACTGCGCCCCTGTCAGCCATCTTGTTATATGCTACCTGTCCCTCTGTGAGGTTTTTAACCACTCTGTCTGTCAATCACCTTGTTCTCTGTTTGATCTATGCATGTATTAAGTGTAATCGTGACATTACACTTGGGAGATTTATTGACTGCACTGGGCTTTAATCACAGCGCCATTAATCCTTAAAAGTTTCTAGTTATTAAATCCTTGTTGATAATGATCCAGCATCCATTTTTTTTTTGACGATAGTTTTGATAACGAACAACGTGCTGGAGAGAATAATGTTACTATCCTCCTAGCTACAGCATGCCAGACGTGGCCAGGGTGTGAGGGTTAAACCTCATTCAGACGAGAAGTGTCTTATTTTTCTTATTGTTTTATGTTTACGTTCGGTAGGTGACGTGAGATAGTGTTGAGTAGGTAATGAAGGAGTTTGGAGAGAGTGCAATAAAATCCCAAGGTAACCTTTGCAGGATCAGTTAGATGGCAGTTTTGGAGAGGTTGGTTCCAGTTTCTGAGGTACTGGGATGCATTTGTCTGTTATTTCTCCTTCTGCTTTCAGCACATTGTTCAGTCGTATTTCCCCCTGGCCCTCTCTGGAGATCATTTTCTGGATGAATACGATTTAGTACACAAGATTCTGCTGAGCAAATTAAACAAACCTCTGAAATACACATCGCACTGCATTTAACCTAGCTATGCTATGAGTGATAAGGTTTAGGGCTTAGTGGGGATTGTTATATTATCAGGGTAATTTAATTAGCTTTGAATGACCCGCACCTAATGGGGCAAAACTATCCAGTGTTGTACAGGGCAATTCAGAATGCAATATTTATTTATTTATAAAGTATTTCACCAGAAAGGATACAATGAGAATTATCTCGTTTTCAAGTATGCCCTGGGTCCACAAAACATTGCATTGTTACAATAGGGAACAATGTTACAAAAAATAAAAAATAAATACACACACATACTCACTCTCTCTCTCTCTCTCTGTCTAATAAATATAATCAACCATGGATTTCAGCTGAACCAAAAAAAATTGGGCCCGGATGCTTCAAATCGGAGCCTGGATTTTAAAACTCTGAACTTTTTGCGTGCAACAACATGTAAAATATGTGCAACAATAAAAAAATATATAACTGCAAATATATTCAGTGCATCCATTCCATCATTATAGATAAACCTTCCTTTGCCCAGCCTACCATGCCATAGATGAGGGCATATCTACTAAACACTGTGTAGCCAGTGGCTGCTCAATGTAACTATAAACAAGTGACTGGGTAGCCATGGAAGGGGTTTAGTAGATATTCCTCCATCTGCCATATTACAGGTGTAGCATTAGGGAGGTTTACAACCTCCCTTATATTAATATGGGGACCCTACTGAATGCATTTGGTCACTTTTTTTTTTTTTTTTAAGGAACACTATAGATTTAGAAATATAAACTATGTTCCTAAAGTTATAATGCCCCCTCCCCCCAATTGATTTCAGTCATTATAGAGGAATTACCTCTTGTGGCTGTCTGGATGCCAGCAACACTTTATATTGCAGTGTTAAAAGGGCAGGACAACTGCACCCAGACCACTTCACTGGATAAAGTGGTTTGGGTGACTTTAATGGCCCTTTAAAACAAGGATTTGTACATATTCCAAATCCTATACTTTGAAAAGAATCCAGATGCGAAAAGCACTCATTTAAAACTCAACACTGAATGCATCTGGCCGATTTGTGCAAATTCAGTCGGGTTGGCTGAATTCTGACTGGAATCACCTTTAGTAAATATGATTATTAATATTCTGATAGGAATCCAAAGATTTTCACTGGATTTAGTCCATTCAGACAAAATCTCGTGTTTAGGTAATAACTGTATGTGTATAATGGTACACCTTTGTACAACTTTTTTCAGCTGGAGCTATTTGACAGTGCTTGTACACTGCGAGTGGTGATATATTGAGATATAATTTTATGTAACATTTGTTTCCCTTGGTTACATTCTATAGCAGAATCTCAGCTGTCTCATGTTTCCTTTTTATCTTTTAGAGTTAGATCTACTGTTCATCACATTAATGCATAGTTGCTCTTTCCCTCTTTATATCACAACAGATAAAAATATTATTTGGGATAATGGGAGTTAGCTTTCTCAGTGCTGTTAATGAGGCTCAATCTGTGTGATGTTGATCTCTATAAGGACATGCCTACCAAAAAGTCACATGTTAGATTTTTGCTGCAAACTTTTACTACTGTACTAAGCTTTAATTATCAGTATATTACTGTAGCTAGCCATTGTGCGGACATCCACTCCTCTCCCTTTGGATGTGGAGATTGTGTGCAACAGTCTTTGAGGCCTGCCTTGTTAAGACCACTGTCTTTGGCTTTTCTAGTGATCCTGCTCACATGTTCTCTTTAAAGGAACACTATAGTGCTAAGAATACAAACCTGTATACCTAATGTAATATCGCCCCTGTCCCTAGTAATATGTGCGCCCCTTCAAACAAAATTAATAAAACAAACATCCCAGGGCAAGGGATAGGAATAAAGGGGGTATGTCATCATAATATTGCGCTGAAAGGGGGTTGAGTAGCCTGGAAAGAATAAGCTGGTGAATGTACACCAGGCTGACTGTTACTCTGAGTGTAGCTCAAATTCTGCTACATTTTCTGGGGGCAGCTCCCTGGCGAACCCAAAAGCGAGACACTAGGAAACACTGGGGAAGGCGGGCCAGGACCCTGAAATAGGGACTGTCACACTGGATTTGTCCCCCCAGGTTTAGCTCTAACAGATGAGCTATATCATTACTCCATACATTTATGTAAACCCTTAATATTTACTCACTGCTTGATGTTGTCATACCTGCCCAGGAACACTATTGTGCTAAGAATACAAACCTGTATACCAAATGCAATATCGCCCCTATCCCTAGTAATATGTGCGCCCCTTCAAAAAAAATTAATAAAACAAATGAATAACTTACCATTTATCAGGAAGCATTGGTGCTGCTCACCTCTTTTACCCCCACAATGTCATTCAGGTGGCAAGGACTCTTCCAACAATGGTCCAATCCATACGCGCATGCGGGGTGAGTTTCTCCATAAGAAGGCATTGTATTAAATGCTTTACTATGGGTTTCTGCATCACATGACTCAGGAAGACAGCCACTAGAGGTGGATTTACCCTGCAATATTTTACATTGCAAGGTTAACAGCACAGGACCACAGCACAAGGGACCACTTATTTGAGATGAAGTGGTCTGGGTGATTTTTGTGTCCCTTTAAGTAATAACCCTTTCTTAATAAATTAATATAACATTATTTTTATTATTTATAAGGCACCAAAATATTCTTTATCTCTGTACAATATCTGGACTAACAATATACCTCCCAACATCCCAGGGCAAGGGATAGGAATAAAAGGGACATGCCATCATAATATTGCGCTGAAAGGGGGGCCAAGTAGCCTGGAAAGAGTGTAGCTCAAATTCTGCTACATTTTCTGCGGGCAGCTCCCTGTGTACCCAAAAGCGAGACACTAGGAAACACTGGGGAAGGCGGGTCAGGACCCTGAAATAGGGACTGTCCCACTGGATTTGTCCCCCCAGGTTTAGCTCTCTGACAAAGAAGCTATATCATTGCTCCATACCTTTTATGTAAACCCTTAATATTTACTCACTGCTTGATGGTGCCATACCTGCCCAGGGTCTCTGCATTTACTGTGAATTACTGAGACTCAGAGACCAGGATCTGCTGTTTATTATTATGTTCATAACAAACCAGTTTTATTTTATTCTGTCACACTGGGATGCACTTACCTTGTCTGTTCACACAGCTCACAGAATGTTACAGTTTATTTAATCTGTTACTGGTTTATATTAATGTCTCTGTATCTGCAAAAATAAATAAATAATAAAAAGTTCCCTTTCACTTTCACTCTAAGCGCTCACAACCTGTAACATCTTATTCTGCCCGGTAACTGCTGATTTACAAGATATGAATTTTCCCATTGGACAGAGTGTCCGGCAGCAGCCAATCAGCACAGAGCTAGCTTGCGCTATATATAAACTCAGAGCTATAGAACACCAGGAACTCTCAGTCTGAGTCGGTCAGTTAGTTTCTGTTAGTTGGAGGTTTCTCTGTTTGAACCCCAATATGACGGGGCCCCTCCTCCTGCTGCTCACTGTGGGGGTGTCTGGGGTGTATTGTGGTGAGTATAATCCTAAAGCAGCAGATATAGTGTATTCCATGTGTCTGTCTCAGGGCACTCTCTCTCTCTCACATGTGTCTGTCTGTCTCAGGTCACTCTCTCTCTCTGACATGTGTCTGTCTGTCTCAGGTCACTCTCTCTCTGACATGTGTCTGTCTGTCTCAGGTCACTCTCTCTCGGACATGTGTCTGTCTGTCTCAGGTCATTCTCTCTCTCTGACATGTGTCTGTCTGTCTCAGGTCACTCTCTCTCTCTGACATGTGTCTGTCTGTCTCAGGTCACTCTCTCTCTCTGACATGTGTCTGTCTGTCTCAGGTCTCTCTCTCTGACATGTGTCTGTCTGTCTCAGGTCTCTCTCTCTGACATGTGTCTGCCTGTCTCAGGTCTCTCTCTCTCTGACATGTGTCTGTCTGTCTCAGGTCACTCTCTCTCTGACATGTGTCTGTCTGTCTCAGGTCTCTCTCTCTGACATGTGTCTGTCTGTCTCAGGTCTCTCTCTCTCTGACATGTGTCTGTCTGTCTCAGGTCTCTCTCTGATATGTGTCTGTCTGTCTCAGGTCTCTCTCTCTCTGACATGTGTCTGTCTCAGGTCACTCTCTCTCTCTCTGACATGTGTCTGTCTCAGGTCACTCTCTCTCTGACATGTGTCTGTCTGTCTCAGGTCTCTCTCTCTGACATGTGTCTGTCTGTCTCAGGTCACTCTCTCTCTCTGACATGTGTCTGTCTCAGGTCACTCTCTCTCTCTCTGACATGTGTCTGTCTGTCTCAGGTCTCTCTCTCTCTGACATGTATCTGTCTGTCTCAGGTCACTCTCTCCAGTATTATTACACTGGTGTCTCAGCTCCCGGACATGGGCTGCCTGTATTTTCTATCGTTGGCTATGTGGATGGAAGGCAGATAGTGAATTATAACAGTGACTCCGGCCGGATGGTTCCTGTGGCTCCGTGGATGAATAGAGAGGGACAGGATTACTGGGACGGACAGACACTGGCCGCTAAAGGCACTGAGCCTGTATACAAAAACAATGTGAGGACAGCAATGCAACGCTTCAACCAGACCGGAGGTGAGAAACACTGACACAATATAGACACACACACACACACTGCATGTACACACAGTGTGTATATATATATATATATATATATATATATATATATATATATATATATGAACACTATCACAAACACACTGACACAATATATACATACACACACGGCATATACACAGTATACACACACGACATATACACAGTATACACACACTGTACATACATACTGGCATAGTGTATGTACCCACCAAGCACTGTATATAAACAGTAAAACACACTGACACACATAGTATACACACACTGACACACATAGTATACATTACTTCAGGGAATAAAAGCTTCCCGGATATTTAAAAGTATTTCTCGCTTCCCACCAGGGAATGTTTTATGCATTTGCGATTTAAAAACGTATTCCATACTCGTCACATACCAATAGCTGTACCCACACAGAACTTCCCTCAGGTGGATTTGAGTACTAACCCAAAGTCCAGTCCCTCTCTTTATGCTATAATGCCTTCAATGAACTCTCTGATACAGATAAATTACTCTATATGCATCTATGGGGAAGGGATTTGGGCAGTTCAATCCTCTCACACTTTGAAAATAACTAAATGATCCTTCAGTAGCATTTCCCATTGAGGGGCCTACTATAAGCTTGCTATGAGATGTATCTAGTACCTTCCAGAATATCTATACAAACTAATCCCCAAATTGCTGGAGATGTCTCCAGGAGAGAGGCTGCTTGGGGCATGTGTTCTGGTCGTGCCAACGCCTAGAATCCTACTGGAAGCAATTAAGAGAGATATCTACATCATTGGGCATCAATCTGCCTTTTAAACCAGAAATCTTTCTACTAAACACATTTTCCTATCTGAAATTATAGTGATAATCCATATTCTTTTAGCGGCAAAAATCAGCATAGCATTTAACTGATAGAAAACATGCTCTCCTATCATACGTTAAGTGCTGGAAAGGGTCGAAACATCCTCTCACTATGAAGAAATGGCATAGGTTGAAGAGAAGGGACATTGGTTATGGCAAAATGGGTGGCAGAAGGTCAAATAAATATATGCAAAATAGTGATTTCTAAACATCAGCAGAGTAGTGGATGAGCGGTATTGAAGGAACATACATGGGTTGCACAACTGATCCTAAACTCCAGAATTGGGTCTATGCTCCAATAACTTGCCTTCAGTCATGGGGGTGAGAAACATCATATTGGTCTATTGCAGTTGGTGTGTTCCTGAATAACACATTGGCAATGTCATGTTATGTACTCCACTTCCTCTCTTCTCTCTTTCTTCTACTTCACTTTACTTACTCCTCTTTTCCCCTATTCCCATGCACTCATGTGATATGCCTGCAAGAAACACTTACTAACTAGAAATCCAAACGGCATTGCACAGCATGGTTACTTATTGGTTTTAACAATGTGATGTATATTGTTAAAACCAATAACTAACCATGTTGTGTAATGCAGTTTGGATTTCTAGTTAGTAAGTGATTCTTGTAGGCATATCACATGAGTGCATAGGAATAGGGGGAAAAAGACTCATTAAAGTGAGTCGCAGTAATTAACAGAGCACAGTATGTTTCAGTTTCCCTTTAAGCTTCTCTTTACTATATTTGTGTAACATGGCATGCAGATGGAATGTGAAAATCTATTTAAATGTGCTGTATAATGCCTAAAAGAAGATTATCCTTGTAACTTTTTGCCTCGATCACACTAATTGCTCTATTACTGTTATCTATCTGTACTATGAACAATCTTGAAAAAAGAAATACAACTTTTCATTCTAAAAACTTTGCATTTAAATCTCTAAAATATTTGCATATGCCCATGATACATCTATTAACAATGAAGGTTAAAGATCTGTTTTGTTTTGTTTTTTTGGGTGGGGGAGTTTGACATTAAACATGTTATTTTTCTCATTTCTGAGCACTCAGGGTGGCCCATTATGGTGTATTATTAGTTATTTAGCATTAAGATTGTTTTTGTTTAAATGCTATTACCTGCTAACAGTAGACAGGAAGCTTAGTTATAGATGGTATCCGTAGGACCCAGGTAACATGCCTGAAGACAGGGGTATTTATTCTGGATCTACTAGGAAATGACTCCTATGGTTATGTAGGTTGCAATGAGACTGAGGTGTCTGTATCACCCAATAAGGATTTGAACATTATAGGTAAGTAGGTCCCAGGGATTCTATATGGAGACCAGGCATGAACTGGCCATGAAGGAAAACTGTGAATAAGGCCGATGGCCAGGGGCTGAGGCTGTCAAGGGAGATCAGAGAAGTTTCAAGTGCCAGCCCTGGAATATAAAAACACCACATATACCCTGCTCTCATTCTGCCAGCAGTCAACTCAGACTGCATAGATTCAGTATATTTATGTCCAAATGTGTCCACTTAATGGCATAGTAAATAACAAGTATCTTTGCAACACAGTTGCTCTTAAAAACAATCTTTTTAGAGTCCTTTTAAAGGGACACTATAGTCACCTGAACAACGTTAGCTTAATGAAGCAGTTTTGGTGTATAGAACATGCCCCTGCAGTCTCACTGCTCCATCCTCTGCCATTTAGGAGTTAAATCCCTTTGTTTATAAAACCTAGTCACACCTCCCTTCATGTGACTTGCACAGCCTTCCATAAACACTTCCTGTAAAGAGAGCCCTATTTAGGCTTTCTTTATTGCAAGTTCTGTTTAATATTTTCTTATCCCCTGCTATGTTTATTGATTGCTAGACCCTGCAAGAGCCTCCCGTATGTGATTAAAGTTCAATTTAGAGATTGAGATACAATTATTTAAGGTAAATTACATGTTTGAAAGTGAAACCAGTTTTTTTTTTTCAAGTGGGCTGTGTCAATCATAGCCAGGGGAGGTGTGGCTAGGGTTGCATAAACAGAAACAAAGTGATTTTTAACCCCTTAAGACCGGAGGGCGTACAATTACGTCCTATTTTAAGCGGCTCTAAACGCCGCCGGGCGTAATTGTACGCCCTCTGGTTTTTGTTTACTTACCCGGTCGCCGGCGGTCCCACGCCGGCGATCGCGGTGGGGGGGGACTCCCAGGGAACCCCCCCGCGTGAGGACCTCACAATCACATGGCCGGGTAGGCTGCCTCCTGCATTGCCAGCAGGGGGTCTGCCTGTAATTACAGGTGGTCCCCCTGCTGGCTAGAAATAAAATTAATATAAAATTTATAAGTGTAAAAAATAAAAAAAAAAATAAAAAAATTATACTTAGATTCCTTGGATATTGAAGCTACTTTTTGGTTGGCACCCGGCTACTAAGGGACATTGAAGCGTGAGTGCAAGAGCAATTTTGTTATATATATATATATATGTGTGTATGATCTAAGTGTATATATATACACATATACATACACACACGTACACTGTCTAGGTGTATTTTACTATTAATATATATATATAATTATTGTTATATATTTATATATAATAAAAAAATTTAATATGTAAATGCGTTAAAAAATAAAAATTAAAAAAATAATAAAATTATATAGATGTGTGTTATTTCGTTCTAACTGTATTGTGATAATATATATATATATATATTTATATCAAAATACACGTAGAACTAAATAATATATATCTCTACATACATATATACGTATATATCAATATATATATATATATATATGTGTAATATTTTTACATAATTAGGTATCTTAATTAATTACAATTAGCGGGACCTGCCTGACAACCCATGCCGAAAGTAAAGGGAATTTAGTTTGCTAGCACTATATTTAACCCTATAACTTTCCAAGACACCATAAAACCTGTACATGGGGGGTACTGTTCTACTCGGGAGACTTCGCTGAACACAAACATTAATGTTTCAAAACAGTAAAATGTAATACAACAATGATATCGCCAGTAAAAGTGAAGTTTTTTGCATTTTTCACGCACAAACAGCACTTACACGGACGAAATTATTGCTGTGATACTTTTTGCTGTTTTGAAACACAAATATTTGTGTTCAGCAAAGTCTCCCGAGTACAACAGTACCCCTCATGTACAGGTTTTATGGTGTTTTCAAAAGTTACAGCGTCAAATATAATGTGAAAAAAATGAAACGTAAGCCTTATAATTCGCCAGATTGGTTACGTTGCCTTTGAGACCCTATGGTAGCCCAAGAATCAAAATTACCCCTATGATGGCATACCATTTGCAATAGTAGACAACCCAAGGTATTGCAAACGGGGTATGTCCAGTCTTTTTTAGTAGCCACCTAGTCACAAACACTGGCCAAAATTGGTGTTTTTTATCATTTTTCACACAAACAAATACTAACGCTAACTTTGGCCAGTGTTTGTGACCAAATGACTACTAAAAAAGACTGGACATACCCCATTTGCAATACCTTGGGTTGTCTACTATTGCAAATGGTATGCCATTATGGGTGTAAATTTCATTCCTGGGATACTATAAAGTCCCAAAGGCAACGTAACCAATCTGGCGAATTTCAATTTCAAATGTAACGTGCTATATTTGACCCTGTAACTTCCCAAAACGCCATAAAACCTGTACATAGGGGTACTGTTTTACACGTGAAACTTTGCTGAATACAAATATGTGTATTTTATTGCAGTAAAAGCAAGCAGTATTATGACATTGACAGTTAAAATGTCATGTAGAACTAAAAGAATTAAAAACAATCTTATTTTCTCCAATTTATTTCATATTAAATTATGTTTCATAGCTAAATATTTTATTTTAAATGAAAGCCCTGTTTCCCCTGAATAAAATGATATATAATAAGGGTGGGTGCATTTAATATGAAAGAGGTGAATTACGGTTGGACAGACAAATGCCAGGTTTTGTTTACATTTTGTTTCGTTCACAACGTGTACATTTGGCTCAGTCCTTAACCCCTTAAGGACTGGACTGTTTTTGCGATGTTGTACATTTGCGACCAGGAATATTTTTACACTTTTGTGGTGTTTGTGTTTGGCTGTAATTTTCCGCTTTCTCATTTACTGTTCCCATACAAATTACATATTGTT